ATCCATTAAATAAACTCTAATTGATTTTTACTTGATACCATATCTATTTTCGTTCACTTTAAAGAAATGCGTATCTGTTACGAGGTATATGGTTCCATTTGTTTCGCAATGCATTGACGTCTTCTCAATGAGGCCACAGGCGTGCAATTTCAATTCCGCGTGCTGGCACACTAGCTATAAGAGAAGCACGATGCATATACCGGAAACTCTGGCATGACGTCCGAAACGATGGCGGCCCACGTGTCCCTCGAGAAACTTTACGTAATGCTGAGAGCATGGTTAACTCATCCTCTTTTTTAATATTTAATTGTTTATTTCTAATTTTATGTATTTTTTCTAATATCTCATTCAGTATTTTATATGTTTCTTTGCAATAAATGAAGATGGATTGGTTTACATCTTTTTGTAAATATAAACAACTATGGAATATTTCTTTCCCTTCTTCTTAAAATTAAAAAAGAATTGAAAAGAAATTATGTATAAGTTTTTCTTACGTTGCAATATGTTTGCCATATCGCAACGATAATGTTCAAATTTAGTTTTCTCTTGCAGTTCTTATAGATGTATTGCTCAATTTTTGTTTCAAAATTTTTATATTCAAATTGTAAATTTTGGAATCCTTTCGTTATAATAATTGAACGATCTATATAAATTAATAAATTAACTTATTAGAAATAGTTAATTTACACAAAACAATTTTTAAATGTGAAAAATTATAAATAAATTTGGAATACATTACTTTTAGACGTTTGCTTAAGTTCTTGCTGGTGAAAATTTAAGGTATTCCTGGCAAAAATAAAAAAACATTTGCTCTTTTATTTCTTCTGGTTCGGAAACTTTTAATGTCCTCAAACAAAAAATGAATACTTTCTTTTTTGCATTGTCTCTTGAATTGTTGCTACATATAAAAATTGCATAAATAAATTAAATTTGTATTATATCAAATGCATTGTCTACTACACGCCACGCTCGCACCCAAATTTTCTATAATAAATGCTTTATAAATGCATACCGAGTGTTTGTCACTTGTCTAGTCTCCAAACAATTGCATATTTCACTTGTTAATTAAGAAAAGAATCATTGGTAGGTTTTCTGATAATTTTTGTAAAATTATTACAAGAATTTTTCTTATCTAAAGAAAAAATTGAAATAATTTTTGCCAATGTTAGTTAAATATAAACAATGATTATCAGAATAAATATTGGACTATATGAACAAGATTTTGAGAATATAAAAGAAAATATTTGGAGATTTGTAATTATAGTATTTTAGAAAAATGGCATGAGACATTATTATGATAAAACAACATTTTATAAGAATAGCACATCTTGAATATTGTTGAGTACACAGAGACAATTTTTTTAAATTCACCCTGCAAATCATAATTGCGGGACAATATAGTATTTAGGCATATTTTACTGTGCACTACAATAAGTATTTTACACGCGATTAGAAATCACGGCGCAACCGTAACGGTGAGTCCGTGCTCATCTTTTTCCGTCGGCCGACGGCAGTCGACAGTAAATTCGAGGGAAGTGGGTCGGCGAGCAGCGTGACTTTTGAAATCTGTGATGTGTCCATGATTGTACATACACTCTTTTATCTAATCTAATTATAATAAATAATTAAATGTGTCTCTTGTTCCTATCTTGTT